GGGAAGGGGGATTTTCCGCACGGCCAATTGTGTACGACTGACTTGCTGCAAACACTACAGGGAATCATCGGGTCAAATGATCGCTTCTGAGATTTTGCAAAACGAGGGCGCGTGCTTAGCTTCTCGAAGGTAATCATGAGGACGTCCAGTGCAGATGTATACACAAATGCAGAAACAAAAAATTGGATTCAGCGTACCGTCTACGTCGTGAGACTTTCCAAAAAAGAGTCTGAGGGGAATGAAGAGCACACAAGGAGACAGGGAAACGGGGGAGAAAAGGAGGGAACAAGCCGGCGGTGAGAAGAGAAGATGCATGAAAGTGTAAGTAATCAAAATCAAAACAGCTCCAGTCATGATAAGCCTAGTGCCACGAAAGAATACATAAACGATGTACCCTGCCTACCCCGCAATACCCGATTGTTTAGACTTCGATTCGCGTTGAGAATGCCATGTTCACATGATGTTCCGTTCGTTTGGAACGGATGGAAGTTGGCAACCCAGTGAAGCGAATAGTAGCATGGACACGGCATTATTACACAAGATAGAGGCTCAATAGACAAAGGGAAAAAAAGAAGGTGCAAATCCAGCAGACATGCACCAAAAGAACGACAGCAGTGAAGAGCAGGCAAGGTACCAAAAGAAACAACCTTCAACAGAAACGGGACCAAAAATTTCCAAGGCGAGAAAAAGTGAGCATGTGAAGAGGAATCGGCGCAACGACAATTTGAGCAGTTAACCTATCAATCTAACAAACGGACACGCAAAACTCAAAAATATATATCTATATATATACGACGGCATTGAGAGGCATACACGAAAACTGGCCGCATTGAGGCGAACAGACGCGATGCTGATAACAGAGTGAAAGCAGGAGGGAAATGGGAGCAGGGAAGTAGACCGCTGTTGACAGACAGCAAAGGAACCAGGGGCAGCCAAGAAGGGGAGGGGGGCGGGGCGTAGGGGAAAGGGTAAGGCCAGAGAGCGCGGAGACCAGGGATGAAAGGCTGGGGTCCGCAAAGGGAGAGGGAGGGAACTGGAGGGGGGGAAGAAGAGGAAGGAGTCCACGGGGAAGGGGGAGGAACGGAAAGGAGGCACGAGACGGGCAGGAACGGGACACAGGAATTGAAAGAGCAGGGGCAGAAGAAGACCCAGGCAGAGAGCCAAGCGCAGGCGGGGGGGGCGGGGGGGGAAGGTCGGTGGCGAGTACAGCAGGAATGGAAAGCAGCCCGGGGGACCAAACAACAGGCGAGGGGGAACTGGGCGCGAAGAGGGAGCCGACCGGGCTGAATGGGGGAGGGAGCGGAGGGAGGAGGACAGAAGCACACCAACCCAGGACGGTAGAACGATTCAAAATTAAAAGAGTTTTGGGAGACACTTGAAAAGTACAAAGGTGAGAAACGTTGCCTGAGACGTGAAGTGAAAGGAAGAGTGTGTTGTTATTACGTTGGCGCCTCTGCCGTTAGCAGGAGGTTCAAAAAAACAAATGGAAGAACCAACTTCCGCAAAATTTATCCGACTACTATAAATGCATTGTGACTTTCTTGTACGGAGCTTTCGATGGTCGTTCTCTCTCGAAAAAATCGTTTGGCTTGACATCTAATCACTCAATCAACACATCCCCACTAACTCCACCAAAAGCCGCCCGCGCTACTTAAATTTCACAAACTCCTTGAAATCTCATCTGGAACACACAAAACATATGCAAAGATCGCCGCCGGTCAAAGGTCGGGCAACTATACATCATGATGATCCCCTTTACTCTTTTTCCAGGAATCACTCCTCTCTTGCCGTTAAGAACGCCCCGCCATCAAATAAGTGAAATTTTTTTTTCTCCTCCTCCATGACCAAGACGACTCCCTCGCTCTTGGAAGAAGACGCAAGCGGCTACCACCGTAGACACCGCAGTTGACCATCGAGATCCGTTTTTCTTCCCCGCATTGTTGCACAAGAACAAAACTGGGGTTATTTCGTTGCAGAATTGCCCTCTGTAGGCCCCGATTTCTTTGCAAGCTTCTCCTGTAGAGCCTTAGCATCTCTCTCTTTTCGCTGCGCTGGAGTGAGGCCATCGTCCTTCTTCCCCTTGTTCGGTTTGCGAGACTCGGCTCGCTTCCTATCGACCTCTCGCTGGTTGCCGCGTGTCATCTTCACCTCCAAGAGGCCCTCTCACGCGCACTCAGAATCCCAAGTTAGACGAGACAGCGTTGAAGAAACCGATCGCTGAGAAGCTGACCGACGAGCCCTGCTCCAAATCACGCACAAGACCCATCACAGGATCAAACAACAGTGTCAGGATCACGTAAGTCACATTACAGCTAACCATCATAAATGTTCCCAGCTGCCATGACAATCGCCTATCTGTCTTTCCTCCATCAAATTCTCCTTAATCAACACACCTCTCCCGACTACATGTTCCCCTCTAGCTCTCTGTCGAGAAGAAATGCGCACAACCAGGAAAGAGGGGAGAGCCAAAGACAGGAAAGAAGCGAGACAACGGAAGAAAAAACACTTCTCCGTTTCTCTCTCTCTGACCTTCCGCCTAGAGACTGCCCATCCGCACAAATTAAGCACCGCGTCGCCGCCTGACATTCTCCTTCCTTTCACCTCCACCCCGCCCCCCCCCTCTCTCTCTCTCTCTCTCTCTCTCTCACCCACACACACACACAAGCACGGATTAAGCGCCGCGTCACCTGACAACCTCCTTCCCCTCCCTCTCCCCATCTCTCTCTCTCTCTCTCTCTCGCACCGAGGTCTTGGGTGATGAAGACCAGTATAACAAAAGCAGCAGAAATGGAGTCTTCAAGCGACCAGGAGAATCCTGTCACACGCTGTCGCGGTTCACATATATGGTGGAACTTCAATGCTCACGCTGGACCGAGCTGCAGTGGATTTCAAAGAGGCTGCAGATCGCGACAAGAATACGACGAATCGGGTAGCTGCACCTATCATTGCTCGCTGATTAACTAGATCAGGGGTTACACTTGCACCAGAACAACTCCCAACGACGTCTACAAAAGATTCGACTTCCAACATTGTGTGTGACGCAACGCAAAAAACTAATGAAGCACGAGTCTGATGTCGAAATCAATTTAGTACACGCTAGGATGGCATCAGAACGACAAATAGACGCATCGCGCTCTGACAGCGACCATAACAAGCGGTTCCAGAACAGTGTACAGTCTACCGACCGCCTCTGACAACGCTGGAGAAGGGAGTACATATGCCAGCGGGAGAGAACGATCCGGCTGGCAAAGGCAAATACAGTACTAATCTGCACGGGAATAAACGTCCAGGTTCACCCCAAGCAAAGCAAAACCACAGTCTGCGAACACTAATACAGAGCTCAATCACGTGGAGCGTGTCATTGACTACCCGCGCAAGATATCCTGCCCCTTAACCTGATCCTGCTATCCAAGACCGAGAGAGGCGATGAGGATATAAGACTACCTTCTTCCCCCTAACAGAACGTTCATCCGTTATAACTGCAATCGGCGCAATTTTCAGTCGAGATACAGCGATAAAGACCGTACATTCTATTCGGAGGAAAGACAGTAATGCCGCTAATTAAAGGTACCCCCTACCTGCCGCGAAAGGTGAATCATGGTGGACTATCAACGGAGGCCACACCTCGAGGGCTTGGTGCTGGGCAAAAGACGAGTGGTGCCCCCAGAAGAAGGTAAAGCGACAACGAAGATCAGACCGTGACCAAACAACACAACCACAACGATGTGCCGGTTCCACCACGAGGTTCAGCGAAAGCTCTACAATCGCAAAACCGCGCGGGTAAGTGGCAGATTACTGCAGTATTACAGAATATATAGCAGAGCCAACGATAGGCTCAGCTCTGCAAACTAACGATGGACACGCAGCTCGGACGATCTGAAAAGAGAACCGAGTTGAAAATCACGGTGCCGAGATAAGACAGCGTCAGTAACGACGGATTAATTGGTAAATACCCCTTTGGGCATTTAACCGCTTTGGCCATTTACCTTTAGACGTTCCTGGCCGCAATTTCGGCGATGATTGTTGAATTATTGAACCGAAATCGAAACGAAGGAATTACTGTGTTCCCGCCAGCACGGCCTGTCAATTTCGGTTCAGAAAACGCCCAAATTGCGGCCAGGAACGTCGGAGTTCAATGCCCAAAGGGGTAAAATACAGTAATATACCGTTAAGCCAAAACGGCGCGAATACGCTATATCTATATTTGGCTCGGGGTTCGTATCCAGATATACCTTGAACAAACCGATGAATCTCGCGTATTATAAAAACAAAAAAGACGAATGAGTGCGCACGTGAACGGGAGTGACATCCTCGAGAGCAGCAGAGGGGAACGGGGGTAGATGACACCAGAGAGGCGCAGCCGATGACTCCCTACGGACATAAACGACATACTGTGACAGCAGAGGGGAAGGGTGGGGGGAGGTGACAGCAGAGAGGAGCAACCGATGACTCGCAAAACGAGCCATTCTCGGTTTCACGGTGCAATCAACATCTAAACGAGTTCTTGTAAGGTAGACTTCGGTTGACAAGCGCAACACAAAAGTAGCCACAATAATAATTATATTATTATATAACTAATAATGCACGAAATACGTCTTGCCAATCAATATACCAGAATGGGTCAACGAACTTCGCCTCGAAGATGGCGATTTGTGATCTGACGAAGAATTCGGTCATATGGGGCTTTCACAGATAACGGGCAAAAAAGACGGAAGTGCCTGGGGTTTAGTAACAGCTAACGGAGATTCCCCCGCTATCGACAAGATGTCGATCATCCCCTTCCCCCCCATTCAAACGAGTTAACGTAATATATGACTTCCTCACCATCAATCTACAGAATCGACCGTGTGACATCGCTGACGATACTCTACCCCTCTTACCCCAAACACATACAGCTATGACGACCGTACATTGTATTCGGGGGAAGAAAGGCAATCCTACGAGGTTGTTATGTGTGAGCAGCAGACGGAGAACCGAACAGGCAACAGAGTCGAATAGAGTGATAGGAAGTGACAGACCGCCTTGCGGGGAAACCACCCGTTTCGGGCCTCGAGGATCCAGACCCCCTTCCAACATCATAAGGCAACTGACTGGTAAGGTGAGTGTACGATCTATGTAGGACGACAACTCTCGGAAGTGAGGGCTGAAAGACCAACCAACGAACACGCAGATATAGGAGGAGGAGGAGGAGGAGGAGGAGAAACCGTCGCCTCCCTCGCCGGCAACGGGAAGAGGTCCTCCGATCTCTCTACTCCTGCCAATTGCCAAGAGCTCTTACTTTGCTCGTTGACAGCGATTGCCGCGAGATCACCAGCGTCAGGGAACGAACGTAACACTCAGCTAAGAAAAGTCCATTAACCGCGAGAGATGAACCGAACCGAAGACTCGGAAGCTCACATACGTATCTTCGGAATTCAGGACACCAGCAGCGCGAACGTGACGGGTGAGAGAACGAATGAATAGACGACAAGCCCAATTTACAAAAAGAGAAGAAAGATGTCGAAGAGGAGGAAGAAGGAAAAAAGAGCGAGAACAACACGAAGCATACGTAAAGGAAGCAGCTCCGCAAGGGGAAAAGGAGCAAGGAGGCAAACAACAAGAAGAAGGCGGAAAAGAAGGGAAAGAAAAGAAGGAGACAAAACATTGCGACTGGATCTAGCCTGCTTCTGGAATAAAAGCGTGTACAGGAACACAGCAGGTAGTAAGGACGTAGGTTCGCTACTCGCCGCATGTGAAAACGGGCAGACGTAAAGAACATGTGAAAACGGGCAGATGTAAAGAACATGTGAAAACGGGCAGATGTAAAGGAGCATGTGAAAACAGGAAGATGTAAAGAGCATGTGAAAACGGGCAGATGTAAAGAACATGTGAAAACGGGCATATGTAAAGAATGCCACGTAATACTGCAACACACGCTCCCTATTTTCACAGTTGGCGAGGGATGGGACGAGGGACGCAAGCAAGGTTCAGGAGCACTGTAGATAGTCGACAAGGCTCATGCAGTCGCAACAACGAGAAACAGTGGTCAACAGAAGTGGAAAGCTCACCTTGAGGACGTGGCGTCAGAAAGACGACGAGGCTCTTGCCACCTGGCCGGTCACACGCAATTGCTCAACGACGAAAGTCGGAGATGCTTACAGAGTCGCAAGGAGGTAGAGCCTGTAGAGGAGCTGCCAGAAGAGCTGAGAGCTCACCTATGGTAAGGACGTGGGAAAGCGACGAGTGCTCTGACGCAAGGGTGGCGCCACGTGACCGGCCGCACGCAATCACTTCATGACGTGTCTGCTCCTGATATAACCCCAGTGCCGGAAATAACCGAACCTCTCGCGCAAAGACGATCAACCGGCGCGCAGACGGGATTGGAACTGCCGCAGCTTGCTGCACGATTTGCGACCTGAGCTGGCATTACATCGCCGCAACGAGCTGCCGTAGCGTGGGGGCGAGTGCGTCGCGCGAGCTGCCCATTGCCCAATGAAACGCGCTACTGCGCGCGAACTGCTCGTCAAATCCCGAAAGAGGGCCAAGCGATCTTCTGGAATCATCCACAGGTTCCCAAATTTCGAGGTTCCACAAATTTCCAGGTTCCCAAATTTCCAGGTTCCCAAACTGGAACCATGTCCCTCGCCTCAGGGCCCAGGTTAGAGTCCCATCCGGCCGCGCCAAGAGGAGACCAACCGCGCTCTCGCTCAGGGAACACTCTGCGAGCGTGACGGCATGCTTTGAATGTATGTGAGCTCCTTCGAGCCCAAATTCATTCAATAATCAATCAATCAATCAAATTCAATACCCCCAATAAAGTCCACCGTAACTATCTACAGCCGGCTCCAATCACTTGCCATGTGGCTCGATTGTAGACATGGGGTCTCGTTTCTTTTCTTTTTTTTTCTTTTTTTTTCTAAAAGCTATATTCTTCTCTCAATTTCACTTCACACTACCTACCTACCACTACTAATTGTAGGCATACGGGGAACCCCGTAGCAGCCACAACCGTGTTCACGAGAGAACATGCGGGGGCTTGCTCCCGACTGCAGGTGGGCGATACCGGCTAGGGGTAGGGGACAGCCGGTAGCATCAGGGACCATGCCAACAGGACCAATGCCTGTGCCTCCCCCCTCAGGTGGTGGTCCCCTCCCCTACGAACATCAGCAGACTCTGCGTAAGAGGCCCTGCAAATATTCATCATATTCAAATGAGAACTCTGAAGACGGAAGTGGAGAAGGGCTCTATGAGGCTCGTACCACACCACTGGAAACTCAAGGGTTTCTTGCCCAACACCTTTCCACTGTGCCCTTGAGTTTTGCTGATCACGGCCAGGCCGTGATTAGATTTTCGGGTTCAGCAAATGGGCAGGAAAAGCTCAAGGGCGGCTCAAGTGCGGCCAAGGCAAACCTACCCATTTTTCGAGTCACCTCTCTAGGTACACTTGAGCTGCACTTGAAATCTGCGCTGCAGGTACCTGTAGAACCCCCCGATAGTTTTTTTTCCCCCACTTATTCTCCTTTTTCTGATGCCATTTATTTCAAGGGCAGACTCGAGGGTTGAGGGCCTCGTTCCACACCACTTCACTTCACTTGAAACGCGAGTGCGAGTTGCAAAAGTGATTAAAAAATACCCGAGTCATGTTTAGTTCCACTCAACCCTCAAGTCCACCCTTGAAATGAGCGGGAACCACTCGCGAGAGGTTCAACCAGGACAATGGTGTTAGAAAAAGGAGAGTGAACGGGGAAAAAAAAACTATCTGGGGGTCTTACACGTACGTGCAGCGCTGATTTCAAGGTAGGTGGGCCACTCTTGAGCTTCCCTTGAGCTTTTCCTGCCCATTTGCTAAACCCAAAACTCTAATCACCGTCGGGCCGTGATTAGTGAAACTCAAGGGCACCGAGGAACGGTGTTGGGCAAGAACCCTTGAGTTTCCGGTGGTGTGGAACAAGCCCCTGAGTGGAACGAAACGTGACTCAGGTATATTTTAATCACTTTTGCAACTCAGGTGCGCACTCGAGTTTCAAGTGAAGTGAAGTGGTGTGGAACGAGGCCCTATGTGAACAGCGTTTGGACGTGGGTCAGTCATCCCTAACAGATGTGGACACCATGTATCAAGACCGCGTTGTGCGCCGCCCAACAAAACAAACGAGAAAAAGCGGCCTAGCTCAGATGGTAAGGCGCCCAAGTGGCATTCAGAAGGTCTTGGGTTCAGTTCCCAATGGCCTCATGTAGCTTCATGGGCATGCTTGGCACCCACCACCTAGAGATAGGTCGTTGGTCCCTCGGCATTCAGAAGGTCTTGGGTTCAGTTCCCAATGGCCTCATGTAGCTTTCCGGGCATGCTTGGCGCCCACCACCTAGAGATAGCATGTTGGTCCCTCAGCCGCATTGAGCAGAGAGCGCTGATGCTCGTAGGCGGAGGGGACCCCAGGGGAGGCACGACGAGTGGCCCATCAACCAAGCTCGGTTTTGATGCTACCAGCTGACCCTTGGGCCGTATCACCCACTTGCAGGTCGGGCGCAGCCCCCGCATGTTCCCTCCTGGTTAGAGGCTTGAACTCAGACTGGCTGCTATGGGGTTCACCGTACCGTAATGATAGTTCGCATCTCTAAGGGCTGCGATATAGTCCACAGCCGTAAGGGCTGCGATATAGTCTGCAGCCGTAAGGGCTGCGGTATGGTGCAGTCCAACATCCTTGTCAATGGCCAAATTCTGGCGGTCGATGCCCGCTGCAAATTGTCTAACGCGTGGGCGCGGGGAACACAGCCCTAAGGGTAGATGTAAGGTTTTGAAAGTTAGAGAGAGAGAGAGAGAGAGAGAGAGAGAGAGAGAGAGAGAGAGAGAGAGAGCAGGGGGGGAATGTTGTGTTTCCTTTTGGTGCAGCCTTTGTGCTGCAAACACAGATGCTCGAACCCACCATACCTCGGCCTTAGGGTTGCGAATTGTGAGTTTGGCCCAATGACCCAAAGCAATGGGACCTGTCTCTTATACACATCTAGATGTGTATAAGAGACAGGTCCCTCGGAGCACAAGGAAGCGCGAAATTCGGAGCGGCGAAGGCATGCATCGACGCACAGTTTCGGTTTGAGGGTGGTCCAGACGTGGTCCACCGAATGGGAGCACGGACATCCCTGCCCTGCACAGTCTGGGCGGCACCCCAAGGGCTCCAAACGGTCACCGTCCACATGAGGCCTCCGTCCGACAAATCGGCCATCGCCGGCCGGTGTCATGCGGTCTGCCATGCTGGGAGATCGTTGACAACGGTCGGAAATTCGAATGCTTTTCCGCGCCGACGCTGTGTTCGACGACGACAGGTGGATTTGGGAAGACCATTGTTTTCGTCGGTTGTTGTCACGCCTTGCACATCGGAGCACAGATCTTCCCTCGCTTTTTCTTTTGTCGACGGAGTTCTTCGCTGGACGGTTGACCACTGACGTGGAGCTGCTGCCCTTTCCACAGCCCTTACATGGCCGACCTGCTGCACAGGCTGCCTCTGCTGCTCCTCGTCGTCATGCTGCTTCTCATCGTTGTCTTCTTCCACGTGTGTTTCGTCGGCCTGCTCCCTGTCTCGGGTCGCAAAAGGAGATCTTCCAAGAACAGCGACAGGATGGATCGACGACTAACCAACGGCAGACCGGCAGGCACAACAGCAGGAGCAAGCAATCGCCAATGCACTGCGGGGTCTGTGGCCAAGCAAGCGTACGACCCGCCGTTGTATGTTCACCTGCCTTCGCATGAGATTCCTCTGCCGACGTCGGATGATGAGGGGGAAGACATCAGGTCGTCGACTGTGCCATTGAGAAGTGGTTCCATGCAGGATTGGGCAACATCGCAGTTCTACGATGGCAGGCGGGTGGAGACCCCGTGGTCTTCCACGTCACTGCTGAACGAGGGGCTGTGCGACGACGATGGCAATGCAGCGGTCGATCTGAGCTTCCAGTTGTCGAGCAGCAGCAGAGCAGCGGCGACACATACTCACATCATCAATCCCCACCCACATGGGGATTGCGGGGAGCAGACGATGGTTGGTCCGTAGCTTCTCTCGAAAATAGTCATCTGTCACATCGTTGCATTGCCTGAGGTCTTCCCAAGTGCCTCCTGTCCTGCGCTTCATCCACCACCTCGACATCACTAGAGGAATCTCTGCAACCCAACGCGTAGCACAGCTGAACAACAGCCTCCGAGGCCATCACATAGTCGAGGCCATCATCTGGAGCTTGCATCAATGTCCTCCGTCTACGCGCGCGCAACTACTCCTTCAGTCGTCCCAGCACCCTCTCCTGCTGACATCGAAGAACAACGGTAGACACAGCCGCCACCACAGCCTGCAGCTCTTGCTGTGTCTACCACAGCCTGCAGCTCAAGAGGCGTCGACACCGCACGTCCACCCTCTCCACCGCCCTCCATAGCCGTGACCTGGACACGGACCCATCGCTCCACTGCCGTGTGTGTCGTCCTTCCACACCCAACGAAGAAGCCCAAGACGTCCGTTGAAAGCTGGCCCCTTTTCTCTGGATGCAGTCCCGCAGACGGAAATGTGTTTCAAGGCGCAGTCGACAACGTGTGCGAAGGTCGAGGGCGATGGACGCAGCCGACAATGCCTGCGCACTCGCAACGGCCGGGGGACGGAAGTGACGCCGCCGCTGAGCCCATTTCAACAGTACGCCGCCTTCGCGCCGCCAGCCGCACGTCGCCGTTATCGTCGCAGCCGTCATTCAAAATTCGAATTTCAAACGTCGACGCCCCCTGGGTTGAAGTTTTTTCCCGTTGCCCCCCTCATGCCATTTCCCACCACAAGTCGCTGGACCACGACGCCTCCACACGGACAAAAGACAGTGGACCAAGGACAACCGACCCCACGGCCACTAATTTCCATATGCACGCCACAAGGCCGTATGAAAACGGTCGCAGGCTCGCCACAAGGAAACATCCTCCGGGGAGGTCCCCAAGGATGAGTGTAACGCCGCAAATTTCCCTTAAGAGCCACAAGGAAATTTCCTTTTGGCTCACGGAACTCGTAAGGAGTGCCTAAAGAGGCCCTCACTTCCCACAAAGATCAAAAGACTTGTGCCGATTAATGTCTCTCTCTTGCAACACCCGCCCCGTCCTCTCACATGACATGCAAACCACACAAGGGAGTCGAAAGGCCAACTCGCACTACCGTCTTCCCCCGAACACAATGCACCCTCATCTTGGCTGTACCGGACCCGAAATATAGCTTCCATACGTTCAATGTCAGGGTGTGTTATGTTCGGGTGACGACGGTAGGACATTCGACTGCAGAGGTGGCTGGCTAAACAAGTGTGCTTAGGACATTCGACTGCAGATGTGGCTGGCTAAACAAGTGTGCTTAGGCCATTACACGCCGCACAGCGCAAACCACATCCAATCAAACCCAACACCTAAAGTAGGCCAGGACAGTCTGGACTTATTCGAAAGGTGCACACTGTCTAGATTGAACTGCTTTTCTGCATCTCTGCTTAAAACACGTCCACATTCAGTATATTTATCCAATCCTCTTTGCTAGTGGGACCTCGCCCCGGTTTGATCCGTCGTCCCAAAAAAGAAAAAGAGGGCACAGGAAAATACCTTTCCCAAAAAATACCTTTCCCGGCCTGTTGGCTAAGACCAAGTGTAGATTCTGTTCTGATCGGTTTGATCCACGGTCCCAAAACAGGAAAAGAGGGCACAGGAAAATACACATACCAGTTTAAAAAAAAAAAAAAAAAAAAAACACATACCATGTCCTCCAGCATGTTAAGACGACAGATGCAGTCCTGTTGACATTTGCATAGACAGATGCCGCGACGACTCTACCGCGAGCGGGCCACCACCCTCTTCGCCGGAGGCGGTCTAGCGCATGACCGACCGAGACGAGAGAGTGTTCAACTACTTCTCCTCAAGCCGTCTTCACACGAATACAACTCCCGGTCAATATAGCCGTATTTGTTGCAACTTTCCGTCTACATACAGCGACAATGACAGGGCGTTCTATTCGGTTGAAGATGGTAGTAGACAAGTCCGGCGGGTGAAGACACGGTAGTAGAAAAGCCCGTTCATGACCTCCACCGATTACGCAGTGCCTGGCTTTTGTCCAGCTATAGTCCACACGTCCGTAACGAAGAACGACTTCCACTGCCATGTGCTGCTCTGCCACTGACAGCATTTCCTAACAAGTGGATTCAACTTGTGTAGCAGAGGGGTTCCATTCGACCGCAAGTAACGACCGCCTCTCACAACGAAAACTCTCCACCACATTCGATCTTCTTATGATCCCACCCTCCCTCCGAGACAAGAGGGCGGTCACTCACTCCCCCATTCCTTTCTCATCTTGTGTTACCCACCACAACCTGGGGCAGCCAATCTCAGCATCAGCATCAGCAGCAGCAGAGTCTTCATCCTTTCCCAAATACCGCTGCATGGTCAGATTCGACAGATCCATGAATCGATCAGCGTCCTGCATCAGGATCACACCCTTCGCTCATAAGACCCCCTGTTAAGGCCCCTCAACGTCTACACTCCGCATATGCCGCACTCGAGTACCGAAAACAACCATTGCTCGTCAGGCCTCGTCGTCTTCTTCGCTTCAAGCTCCCTCCAGCGTCACTCAAGGGTACACACACAATCGCGGCGAGTTCTGATATGTCCACCTTGCATACCACTCAACACATTATGATGTGTCGTCTTCTTCACTTAAAGCTCCCTCCAGTGTCAGTCGAGAGTACACACACAATAACGGCGGCGGGTTCTGGTATGTCCACCTCGCATTCCACTCAGCACATTATGATGCCCTCAATCGCAACAATCTCCGGGTTTCAGTCGGTCATAACCACGTCTGCGTACCAAAGATGATGATGATGATGATGATGGTGGTGTTTCTCTCTTCTTCGCCGCCGCATTTCTATCAGCCGCGAAGACACTGACGAGTATTACAATACAACCTAACATTTACCCACCATAGACGTATCCAAAAGACCGTCCGTCAACAACAAAACAGCATGCCTACGGTAGTGCTAGTGCCCCCCCCCCTCCGCCTCTCCTCAGATCGCAATCCTCACACCTCACTCCTCTCAGAACAACGGCGGAGGAAGAGAACTGCAGCGCCACCATATCCTAACCAAGATCCCTTTCACACGGTCAGGTCATCGTCGTCCCTCAAGCACACACGGACTGATATGACGTCAGTGCACTGCTACTCTCCTCCGTTGGAGGAAGCAGGCGGCGGTGGTGACATCATACCCATCACGCGATCACGCGACGCCGCCAATCACACAAGCGCTTGCCAACACTCGCTCCTCTAAGGCGGCAGGGGGGGGGNTTGAAGGGTTTTTTTTTTTTTTTTTTTTTTTTTTTTCCCCTCTACTGTGTATGAATTACTACGTATTGTTTCTGTTCTCCTTTGAGATTTGGTTCTGAGATTGGAGGTCACTGGTGGGTTCGAGACGTTTTTGGATTACGTGCGACTCGGAGTGTCCCTGGTCGGTTTGTTAGGCCTGGTGCGAGGATTGTATCGTGCTCTTGGTTTCGCAATGGTTTCGGGTACGAGTTGTCATTGTAATATGTTTCCTTTACTCTTATCTAGTACGAAGTGTGGCGAGTCGTTTTTTACTGGTTTTGGACGCGATTTGTTTTTTTTACGATAGTGAATCTGGTCCCCTTTGATGAGCATGGAGCAGTAGTTTGGTGGCGTTCTGGTATGTCAGAGAGCTCTTTAAGTTTCCTGACTCTCCCTAGCTAATGGTACTTAAGTCCTTGTTGTCATGTCCTAGCTACCGACTTAGACCCCTGAAGAGTCCTGGTTGGCGGCCATGCGAAACTGGTCGGGTCGTAACGCCGCGCGGAGCTTCTGTTCCGCTTCCTGTTCATCACGTTTATTTTCAATACAGTCACGTTCGGGACATGACTCTCTTTGACTCTTCTTCTTCCTCCTACCTATCTTCCCCTACCTCTTTTCCTTTGCAGTTATCAGGGATGTTCTGAGTGACTATTGCTTGAAGTTAGACTTGTCTTTCTTGCTATCTATGTGCATGCTTTGCGTGTCATACTTTAGCTCCCGAAGTAACCGAATAATACTATCGTTGTGTGGCTTCGCTTTGTGTTATGGCGTCCAACGGAAACCAAAACGGTCCTCTAGTTCGTTCGTGCTACAACTGTGGACAACCTGGTCATATTTCCATGTACTGCCCTTTGCCTGATCATAGGCTTAATGGTGGTCAACAACCTAATAATTTGATCCCCACTCAGCCGTCTAACGCCTTGGTTCTTGTTTAGACCCCGATACTTACTGTGCCCGCTAGTACTAATGTAGGTACTGTTGTTCCCTCCTTTTCTGGACAGTATAGTGGCGGTGGCGGTTGGGGATTAGGGAAGAGAGTTAGTTCGTTGGAAGGGTTGGTGGCAGAGATGAAAATTAAGCATGATGCGGATAAGGAGAGAGAACGTCGGCTGAAAGAAGATGAAGATCGCAAACGGCATGAGCGTGAAGAAGAGGAGAAGAGGCTACGTGAGAAGAAGGAACGTGAAGAGCTTCAGGCGCAGATGTCCGAGAAGATCGACAAAGTCTATGAGGCAATTAATGAAAAGAAGAATAGTGACAAGGATAAGCTGGAGAAACTGAAATCGCTTGTTGATGAGATTGGGAAGAAGAGCCGTGGAGCTAGTACTTCTGCCACGGGGTCTATGCCTGTTGTTGAAAATTTGGAGGAGGTCATCCATTCTCTGCAACGGCAGTGTGAGGCCGCCGAGGCAAATGCAAAAGCCTGGAAGATGGAAGCGCTTCGGCCCGAAAACAAGTGAGGGAGTGTCGCTATTGGTGAGTCCCTGACTACCCAAGCTAGGGAGAGGATGCGGACAACCTCCGCTCCCACACCTTCTAGTCGGGTCAATGTGCAGCTGAAGGGGATAGTGGAGATACATCAGGCCGAGGTTGACTTGCTGAAGGATATGCGACTGATTGAGGTGAATGTGATGAAACGGTCTGAAGCTGAAGTCGAACGTCTTAAGAAAGCAATGAAGAAGCTCAAGATGGAGAGGAAGACCACTGCCACGACCACTAACCTGAAAACTCGACTGGATGAGGCGGCTTGTCCTTCAACGGTTCGAGATAAGGGTAAGGCTGCTGTCAACACGGAGGTTGAGATCGGTGACCGAGAGACATTTATTCGTGCCGCACGCAAAGATTTGCGAAAAAAGAATAAAGACGAGGTTAAAGCGATTTGCGAGAAAGATGGGGTCGCGTACACTACACTAAATCCGACGAAGGAAGCGATTGTGCAGAAGTGGGCTGCAAAAGCGTTTGATGAAAGTTGGGAATGAGGTTTCTACAGTACCTGTGTCAAATGATCATGATAATGGTGCCGAATCGAGTGACGGGCGTGACTCCGCGTCCTCTTAGGGTCACGCCTGAACGCGGCTTCCCTTTGGCGAATTGTGCGATTGTGTTGTTTGATTCGTTCTCGATCTACTGACCTTTTGCGATGCAAGGAGTTGAATGTTTTCCTTTCCTCTGTTGTTCGCAATCTGATTCTCGATGGTGGTGTACCGTGGGTGATAAGGTTATTTTTTTTTTTCTCAACCTTCCTAGCTTGTATTGTCAGTCGGATGTATGGAATGGTCCGGTGGTTTATGCTTTGTTATCTCCCTGGTCAAGGCATCTCTATGTTGGCAGTACTCTGCGTGATTTGCACTCGCGATAGAGGGAGCAAGTATATTGTGCTTGTACGTTGAAGGTGGTTGAAAGAGACCGCCGGAACGAGCATTTATTACCAATGATTAACAAGATGTGAGGCTCATACTTATGTTGTTTTACCATTGTGTTTATGTTCTACTAATGATCTCTTGGAAACTGAGAAGTTATTCATTAGGCTGCTATGCCCTTCCTTGAATATTAGGGACAAGTGTAAACGAAGCAAGAGAAGGACGGTTGGGCTAAGAGAGAGGTTAAAAAGGAAGAAGAAGATCCACAATGCGGGTGATGTTTACGATCCCGTCCTCTGAGTAAATCTGTTGTTACCTTTCATTCCAGCTTGGGTTTGACTTTTGTAAGCCTCTTGAAAATTCTTGACGAGTGTAGGTTGCACTTTGTGCATCGTTTGACTATTCGGTGCGTTGGTGGTGATTTGCTGGTTGACAAGTGGAAAGTCCTAAAAAGATTTTTCGGTGGCTGTTTGGTTGGCTGTGTGTTTGGGAAGAGTGAGCTGCGATATGTGCGATGGTGGATCAAAGGAGGGGTTACCTTGGTTTTCGATTTGGTCGTACCCTTTTTGAGTAGGTCTCTAGCACTAAAAACCCCTCTTGTGGAGTTCTTGAGTAATCCGAGTAGTCAGAGTGTTTTGAAAACCTGGGAATTGGCTAGATTGGTGTGTGCGTACACGGCGGTGAGAACTTTCTCATAGCAACGATCGAGGTTTCGTCTGAGGTGCATTTTGTCTCAATGTATTTTGCTTCGGTTTGGAGTTCACGTCAGGCAACGACTTGTTGTTCGCCTAGTTTATGATGACGGTGTGTGTAAATCGAAGGTACGTGGCCTGTGTTCGAGGATTATTTCTGGTTTGGATATCGAACTACGTGGAAGTCTATGTTGGCTAGGCGTATGAGGATTGTGTGGTCCCGGAATCAGAATATTGTCGACGTAATCTACAAATTTCGGAGCTATGCTAGGATCAGCGAAGCTAGTTGCACTTGTTTTAACTCAGATTCTAGTCTTCCGCGTGTGGACGGACACGTTTCTTTTTGGCTCAACGGATCTGGGGCTGTTCCTCAGTGGATGTGAAATTCCAAAAATATTCTTCGACCATCTCATATGAATCGGTTGGCTACTCTTCGTTCGCAAGTCTTGCATGCCTTCTCTTCTTATTCTTCCCTTTCTATCGTTGACCCCTCCCTTGTTACTGACGACATGTTGAATGATTGTCTGACATGTAGTGCTCCTGTCGATGTCTCTTCTGTTTCTTGTGTGAGCATGGATGCGTTATCCCATTTTCTCGAGATGTTCGAAGGGTTGGTATCTTGCCTCATTGATCACACAACATGGGTGATAATTTGGTCTGTTGTCCTCTTGTCTACGAATCTGGTATGCGCTTGCTTTTCTTTGGCAACCCGTCTTTCGAACTTTGTGAGGAATCGAAGATTTTTATTTTAGGGGAATGTGAAAGAAAGTATATGAGCGCGGGGCTAAGTAAGGTCGGTAAATGGCAGAAGAAGGGTTCCCTTGGGCGTGCTTACTGCTTGCCTAAGCATAAAAACATTCAGAGATGACGACCCATCTGCCCATCGTTCCGAGAGCCTTCTGCTGCATGAGGGAAGCTCGTTTCTCGTGCTGTTAATACATTGCTATAGAATTTGCCTAAGCACTCGAATCTGGACCTACGCAGTGCAGGTGGACTGCTTGATGTCGTGAACCATATCAACAAGGGTCTATGTGACGATGAAGAGTTTGTTGGTGCGTCTTTTGATGTAAAAGAAATGTTTTTGAACTTGCCCCATCCTTCGATTCTACGGGCATTGAGCTAGGTGATCGACTTTTGGCAGGACAAGGGTGTCACCGGGGTGGCAGTGAAAGTGCAAGGTAAAGGGGCTAAGCTATTGAGGGGCAAAGTGGAACCTGGATGGAAAGCTATCTCGCTGGAGTTGCTTGAGTTATTTGTTTCTTACGAGCTGGAGAACACCTTTGTTTTTGCCGCGGGGCGTTTGCTGCGACAACGAGTGGGCATCCCCATGGGCAAATTATCCAGTTCGACTTTGGCCTGTCTGCTCTGTGCCTTCAACGAGTCTGTCTTTTTCAATAGCCTTGGTGTTGATCGGTCCTTGTTTTATGGTTTTCTGTTAGTAGACGATGTTTCAATTTTTGTATTGTGTAAGACCAAGGATAGTTGCTCTCGTGGGCATGGGCTTTCTTTTATTGAATTCTTCAGCAAGTGTTACGATAACAATTTGGTGCTCGAAAGGATAAGTGATGGTTTCTCTTGGGATTATCTCGGGTGATTATTGGCGATTATAGAAGGGAAGGCCAGAGTCATGTGTTTATCTATGATGAATAATCAGCGTGATGATGTCAATGGTCCCCTGCGCTTTAGAGTATTAAAGATTTTTCTTCTTTCTCAAGCAAGCAGCAAAAAATGTCGGTTATTAGCTCCTTCTTTCATCGGGCAAAGACTTATTCTTATGTTGAAGGGGTGGTGCTCCCCTTTCTGTTTTCTTTCAAGTGCGAGCTATGGAGAAGGGGGTACCTGGACGAGCTGTTCGATTGCGCTCTGATTAACTTCTCCAGGAAGTTTGGGGGCTTGTGGAGGGACTGGATCCCGTGCTTAACCGGTTGGGGTCGATGGTTTTCAAAGTATGCCTCCGTGGTAAGGGGGTTCTTTTTTGGTCAATTCTTGTGGTATCTGTGGGTCGAGGTGCCGGTTTGTTGTTCTTCCTGAT